GATGCTTCTGATACGTGACAGGAATTGGTAATATAACATACTGAAAACGGCTACACTAAAAAGACAAAGTATCGCCTGCCATTAAACTGCTATTTACGTTTGCGGGCAAAAATTGTGGAACTTTGTCTGACAAGGGGAGAACTTGCGAAATAAGTGGCTAGTAATTCGAAGAATGAGTAGTTATACAGTGATCTCTCGGTGGCTGCTGATCTGTAATACGGACAAAAACTAGGATTTTGCTGATGGCGTCGACCACAAAAGAGTACTCAGTCGTGAAAATATTCGAGGACTCAATGGAATTGACAGCGAGTGCGCAACCTCGCCGACGACGTACCCGGTTGAGATACGAATCTGCGATTCTGTCTAAGAGGGCATCGAAATGCCCCTACTCGACAGATAAGAAGGTGGAGGGAGATCTACGGACAAGAACAGTTTTAATATCCTGCAGCTGGAACCTCAAACCTGTCTGAGACAGCTGCCAAGGGAGTAGGACACAGTAGTTGAGAGAATGATCTTAAAGCTTTTAAAGGCAGCCTGCTGACTATGCCCATATCCAAATTAAATGCATCGGGACCCATAGGGACGACTGGAACACTAGCGAATATATTTCCAGTACCGAAAGGAAATACGAGGCCACTAGTTGTAGGCAAAATTGCATGTGCCTCCGTGGAGGGACGGAGCAAATTGCCCATCTCACCCAGCAGCATATAACGGTACAAAATAATATGTTAGTACTGGTGGCAGACACAAACTGCTCTGAATGTTCAAGAGGTACAGTAGACACAGCCTCCAGGAGTGATTTTACTGATGGCCGCAGTGGCGAAAATGCTGCCGAAGACTTACGAAATTTTTTTGCTTATATACGATCTGGAATTGCGGCTCTTGTGAGACCTTCAAGACTGAAACTCCTGTCTGGGTGGCTGAAGGGGAACAGAGTCCAGACGAAGGTAATTTTTACACTAAGTCCTCAAGGTGTGCGATGGGGTAACTATTTTTCTAAGATCAGTTGGTACGGTTCTTTCGCCTTCACCGGAGAGGACAATATGATTCCGTATAGCAATTACAAAAGGGAAAGCCTTCCCGGTATATAAGCAGAGGGCGTCAACACCACATCTGCCCCAACATTTTGTGTATCTATCCGAATTAACTAAGCTAATCAAAATGAATGGAATAAAACTCAACAGTATTGCCTTGCGAAAAAAACTGAAGCAGCACTTAAGTCTCGAACAGACCAAAATGGTAATTATCTATGTGCTTGCAGACACGTCCGATTAAATTCATATATTCGCTGGCAAAATAGGTTGGGACAGACCACAGTAGTTGGGCGTCAGTACCGTGACTTCAATAACTGAATTAGACGGGTCGGGTGTAATTATTTTCGAAGTACCTGCAGTTACATTATTCACGAGCGGTTATTTATCGGAACGGTCAATCCAGAGCAGCCTGAAAGCAAGACTAGTTGAATACCTGTCAAAGCAAAACAGACTATGAGTACACATGTTTCTGTTTCGCGGGGCCTGTATTAATAACGTGATACTACGTTTCGAACAGTGACTAGTCATCACAAGTTTGAAACATCAAGGGCGTCATAGTGTGGACAAGTTTTGTAAACAAAGGGCGTGACGAACCCGTAAATATCCCGGGACAAACAATTGCGACTGACTACAGGTTTCGCATAAGTATTACTTACTACCTTTAAATACTTTGAATTAGTCACTCTTAGTAAACTGCAAGTTGAGGTAAACTTGAGGAAGCCCCAAACCTGATGAAAGATGAAAGGTCTTATAAGATGTTTCTAGTATTTTAGTCTGACGCACCAGGGCCTGTTGATTTTTGGCCAGATCTACAGGATAAAAAGATGCACCGTCTTTCGATAAGGTCGAAGAATTATATATTTTTGTGGCAACTTTGGGCTAGCTGAAAGGAGACAATCGCTTGCAGGGGAATTGTTCATAAGGAAGTCACACAATTTGATTTAGACTGAACCAAAGCGACTTTCGTTTAAAGAGCTAGGAGACCTAAGCATAATGTTTCAGCTGTTCACTCGACTTTTAGGTAACAAAATTGTGGGAAACAGAAAATCAGTTGCACAAATAGAGCCCCATATTCTGTAAGTTGTGAGCTAAGTGCTCTTCAGAGATATCTTTGCAACCGGCCAGATCTGAATACTTTGCCAAAAGTTCTTAAAATGAGCACATTAAGGGTCTACTCGCCCTAGTTCTCATTTGGAAGGTATTCCCAATTCGCGGGTAGGATGCAAATTACCTAGTCTAAAGAATAATCTAGCTAAAATATTAGTCACCGAATAAAAGAACGCTGATGCGAGAAAATATACCTGTTGATAAAACTAAGCGGTTTTTCCGAGGGAGACAGGTTAATTTCATTGCCGTTCCAGTAAGCCAATAGGGAGTATGTGTCTGGAAGCTTAAGTGATTCTGTAAGTGCGCGAACTACTTCCTCCGCGGTCGTGGTCCCAACTACATTGCCGACAACGCGAGGCATGCCATCAAACCAAACCTTCAGTTCCATCGTGGAAGCTAATACAGGGACTGGCAGTCACCGTCCCCAAGGAGCCACAATCTCCGCAAGTCGGTAACGTTCCAGTGGTCTTGAGTTGGGGATGTGGGGCCAATATCCTTTGTATTGTGTTGTATCTCTGAGACTATGATGAGTCCTTTAGACTTTTCAACTTCTACAACAAGTATGTTAGCAGCTTCTACAT